TGGGGACCGGCGCTGCTGCGTCCCGGGCGCTGCTGGTTTCTGCCCAGCCTGCTGTCAGCGCCGGGTCCCGCAGAGCCTGTCCCGGCTGCTGCGTGTTGGCGGGATGAAGTGCGCTGATCAGCATCACCCTCTGCCCCCCGCCCCGATTTGCAAGGTCCTTGACCAGGGAGGAGACCTTTCTTCTTTCTCGTGGCCACCCAGAGGTGCTTGCAAGCTGTGTCAGTGTTTGCTGCACACTTCTGCTGAGGATCCTGGAGATTCCTCAGGACTTGCCATCAGCTCCTTGTGTTACAAAACCTTTATGGACCTGCTGGGAGGGATAAGGGGGGGGTCACCTTGCCGCTCCTTGAACCTCAGCTTTGGGAAAGGTGGGGAGATGGACCTCTGGCTCTCACCACAGGTATCAAGGGCTTATTTTTCTGTCATCCCTCACTGTTGCTGCTGCCTCTGAAATGCAGCACCAGAAGCACCCTAGCTGCACAGAGCCTGGACTTGCTGCGACCCGTGCAACTTCCTCAGACGGCGATCGCTGCCGTGCTCCTGAGCGCAAAATGGCTGGCTCCACCGGCTTCCCGCCAGCTGACTCACAGCAGGGCACCCATGGCTCTGGAAATCCGGTTTGGTTTGGATGCTCCTCTGCCTTGGTTGTGCCTGATGACGCATCCAGGTCCTTGGCAACAGCGGGGCTGAGGCAGGGAATATTTTGGTTCTCGTCGAAAGGGCTGCAGCCTCTGTGATGCCTTACCTGGAGAGAGCGAGGCTGCAGAGCCCACCTCAGCCTGGTGTCCGCTGAGGGACCCGAGGCTGCCCTTGAAGCCCTGAGCTCCAGGACCCTCCCACCTCAGCCCTTTGGTTCAGCTCAGAAGCGCAGCCAATGCTTACTCCATCTCCAGAGCTAATTTAGGGAAGCCGAGACTCAGAGCATGGCAACCGCTCGCTGCTGCAAATCCCCCCCCTTTGCTGGGCACCCATCCTCAGTGCCGTCACCTCCTCAGCTCCCAGCATCTGCTCTGTCACCTCAGCCGTGTTGTTGGAGCAGCAACAGGGGCCATGGTAGCTGCTGCAGGGCCCCAGCCCTTACGCCAAGTGGGTGTGTGGGCGATGGAGAAGGTGCTCACTGCGTGCTTCCGAGGGGTGTGGGTGGGGGCAGTCCAGGGAACATGTTGGCCTGGTGTCCCAGGCTCCAGCAGATGGGTCTCCATCTCCCTGGGCCCCTGAGATGGGCAGTGCAGTGATGGGAGGCAGAGCACCACATCTGGGAGAGGGCAGCAGGTTGGGATGAACAGAAGGCACCCCGGCCATAGGGCGGCAATTGCGTTTGTGGTCCCGGCTGGGATCTGACCCTGCCTCCCCCTCCCCAGCGCGAGTGCATCTCAGTCCACGTCGGCCAGGCCGGCGTCCAGATGGGCAACACCTGCTGGGAGCTGTACTGCCTGGAGCACGGCATCCAGCCCGACGGGCAGATGCCCAGCGACAAAACCATCGGTGGAGGGGACGACTCCTTCACCACCTTCTTCTGTGAGACCGGGGCTGGGAAGCATGTCCCACGGGCCATCTTCGTGGACCTGGAGCCCACCGTGATCGGTGAGTGCACCTCAGTTGGGCAGTGACAGTGGTCACTATCTCTGGGAACAACCAACCGTGGGATGCTCCCTAGGGTTGCTCCTGCCACCGTTCCCCAGAGCCAGTTAGAATATCTCTGACATTGTGCCAACCTCTCCTAGATGAGGTTCGGGGAGGAGTCTACCGCCAGCTCTTCCACCCTGAACAGATGATCACCGGCAAGGAGGATGCTGCCAACAACTACGCCCGCGGGCACTACACCATCGGCAAAGAGATCATCGACCAAGTACTGGACAGGATCCGGAAGCTGGTAGGTGACCGCAGAGGGAGGACTTGCCCACCTGGGCTGGGCTCCAGCATCCTGCTGGGGATGGGAGCATGGGGTGAGCCCTGCTGTGCCCTGGGAGGGCTCTGCAGCTGACCATGCAAAAATTTGAAACTTCCCTCCAGCAAAGTTAGCGCTGGGAGAAATCTCACTTGGCTCTCTCCACAGGCTGACCAGTGCACGGGACTCCAGGGATTCCTCGTGTTTCGCAGTTTCGGAGGAGGAACTGGCTCCGGATTCACCTCCCTGTTGATGGAGCGACTCTCAGTGGACTATGGCAAGAAGTCCAAGTTGGAGTTCTCCATCTGAGGACAGCCCCGGCCAGAGTCCACGGGGCTGGTGGGTCCCAGCACGGGCTGAGCGGGAGGGATGCCAGGGCCGGCTCCCGACCCTGCACGGTGCCAGTGCGTGGCTGAAGGCAATGCCAGCCATGTGGGGACCCTCAGGGGCATACGGGAGGTCACCCAAAGGAAAATGTGCTCCCTGGGGCTGCTGGCTGGGGCAGGTAGGGTGCGGGTGGCCATGGGGCGCTGGCACCAGGCAGAGCCCTCCCTGGGATGGGCCAGACAGAGCTGTGCCAGGGTCTGACCCTGCCTCCCCCTCCCCAGCGCGAGTGCATCTCAGTCCACGTCGGCCAGGCCGGCGTCCAGATGGGCAACACCTGCTGGGAGCTGTACTGCCTGGAGCACGGCATCCAGCCCGACGGGCAGATGCCCAGCGACAAAACCATCGGTGGAGGGGACGACTCCTTCACCACCTTCTTCTGTGAGACCGGGGCTGGGAAGCATGTCCCACGGGCCATCTTCGTGGACCTGGAGCCCACCGTGATCGGTGAGTGCACCTCAGTTGGGCAGTGACAGTGGTCACTATCTCTGGGAACAACCAACCGTGGGATGCTCCCTAGGGTTGCTCCTGCCACCGTTCCCCAGAGCCAGTTAGAATATCTCTGACATTGTGCCAACCTCTCCTAGATGAGGTTCGGGGAGGAGTCTACCGCCAGCTCTTCCACCCTGAACAGATGATCACCGGCAAGGAGGATGCTGCCAACAACTACGCCCGCGGGCACTACACCATCGGCAAAGAGATCATCGACCAAGTACTGGACAGGATCCGGAAGCTGGTAGGTGACCGCAGAGGGAGGACTTGCCCACCTGGGCTGGGCTCCAGCATCCTGCTGGGGATGGGAGCATGGGGTGAGCCCTGCTGTGCCCTGGGAGGGCTCTGCAGCTGACCATGCAAAAATTTGAAACTTCCCTCCAGCAAAGTTAGCGCTGGGAGAAATCTCACTTGGCTCTCTCCACAGGCTGACCAGTGCACGGGACTCCAGGGATTCCTCGTGTTTCGCAGTTTCGGAGGAGGAACTGGCTCCGGATTCACCTCCCTGTTGATGGAGCGACTCTCAGTGGACTATGGCAAGAAGTCCAAGTTGGAGTTCTCCATCTACCCCGCACCACAGGTCTCCACCGCTGTGGTGGAGCCCTACAACTCCATCCTCACCACCCACACTACCCTGGAGCACTCGGACTGTGCTTTCATGGTGGACAACGAGGCCATCTATGACATCTGCCGCAGGAACCTGGACATCGAGCGCCCGACCTACACCAACTTGAACAGACTCATCAGCCAGGTTGTCTCATCCATCACAGCATCGCTGCGTTTCGACGGGGCCCTGAACGTTGACCTGACCGAGTTCCAGACCAACCTGGTGCCCTACCCTCGCATCCACTTCCCCCTGGCCACCTACGCTCCTGTGGTTTCAGCCGAGAGAGCTTATCACGAGCAGCTGTCGGTGGCCGAGATCACTAACTCCTGCTTTGAGCCGGCCAACCAGATGGTGAAGGGCGACCCTCGGC